TCTTTGTCTGCGGAGGTCAGCCTGGTTCGTTACGATGAGGTTGTGTTCGTTCGTTCGTTACGATTCTCGAATAGTCCTGTTCCCCACTGCAGTGAAACGTACACAACTGTTAACGACCCTTCTGGACACAACTGACAATCAGGCGGCAGTTGAAAAAAAAAATAAAAAAAATCAGGCAGCAGTTAATTTGAGCTAAGCCACCAGACTACACAGCCACCAGCCATGTGCCTGAGGGCATACTCACACTACCGGCAGGACTTTTTTTAATTTTTACTTGTTTCTGGACGGAATTGCGGCCAGATGCCTACAGGTGTGGCCGAAATTACGGTCTGATGCATTCTGGAAAGTGTCAGCGTGAGTATGCCCTGATAGGTACACTCCTGCAACTGCCAATGAACAGGTTACGAGTTGAAATGCTGATGGCGTCATCATATAGATGCAAAAGTGTTGGTGACGATCCACCGTTCTTCAGAAAAAAAAGAAAAGAATAGAGACCGTTACCTCCCCTCTCCTGACGTACCGAGCATTGTGATGCACACTACGGTACCAGTTTCTGGCAGTGCAGCAGAGAAAATCGGGGTCCGTTTTGGTTAGCAGTGCTTGGGGAAAAAGGGAGGCCCTCCCTCAGCTGACGGTTTGCACTGATTTCTCCCATACACAAGGAGGGTCCCATATACAAGAGAGGGGTGGGCTGTGCCATAGTTTAGCAGTGCCCAGGAGGAGTAGGCCGCGGATGAATAAAAGGGCAAAAGATAAGCGGAACGTTGGCTGCGAACCTCCACTGGCAGGTTGCGATTGCAGTGGCCGGGTCGGGTCCCCATGAAATAAAAAAACCGCCGTCGACCTCTGCAGCCGGGGTTCGGACCAAGATGCCTTAGGCAGACAGCCTGAGGTTTGGCGATTCCAGGATCGATCGATTCCAGGATCGATCGATTCCAGGATCGATCGAATGATAGGTGAAATGGCTTTGTGATTGCTCGACTGATTACGGTCTCCTGTTACAAAACAAATTCAATTTGTTGGGCATCCAAGGTATTGGCAGACAGCCTGAGGTTTAGCGATTCCAGCCCCAAGGCCAGGGAACTTACAGGTTGCCTGGCTGAGAGCACCCCAGAGTATGGCAAACGACGGGCTCGACAAAATAGGTTTTGCCGAGAATGATGGTTCGACAGGAGCTCTGTCAGCGCAATAAAGAAACCAAACCTCGTAGCCCAGCAATTCGTGCCAATTTTTTTTATCCCGCTGGGTTATTTTTGGGTTTCGCGCGTACTCTCTGTCAATTTGTAAAAGCAGAAGCGATTCATTCGGCGCTCCTTGCGAGAACTGATCCGATTTGTATGCAGGACACGAGCGGTGGTGGATTGGGATTCACATTCACTGTTCTTGGACACACACATCTGCTAAGGAAGAAGATGACATTGAATGCTGCAGAGAAAATTGGGACTCTTCCAACCCTGCGCTTTCCCCCTCCCCTTTACACCAACGGGTGTGCGGCCTGCCGATGGACGCTCACCAAACACCTCTAATATGTATTATGATATTATTATCCCAATGGATTTAAGACTTTTAAGGGAATCTCCAGGGAATCTTCAGGGAATCATCCCCAGTGAAGTGGTCCAGGAGGGTTGATTATAGAGCAGTGTCGACTCCTACAGTATCCACAGAAGATTCAGGGAATCTTCAGGGAATCTTCAGGGAATGATTCCCACTGACCGCAGTTGTCTAGGCTCCTGGATTGGAGTGATGATTCCCGGAAGATTCAGGGAATCATCACTGACCGCAGTTACTGTAGTGGTTGAGTACAGTGCAGAAGGATGTGGGGCCCGGAGTCGGTGTCAACGTGCAGAGAGCCGTTCCGAGCATTGTTCGCTTTCAAATTGCACAAGGCTTTGAGAATCTCCAGCTGCATCATGAGGCGAACATCATGAACCGTTGGGGAGCTGTTTCCTTCTGTTGTGGCCGGTGGTACGGATTTTCAGGCATGCAAAGTAAAATTTAATGGAAAAATTTAATTCAAAGCAATCAGAGTTAACTTTGCAATATGCGAAATGACTGTTCATAACCAGAGACACTCGAGAAATGCCCAGCTGCCTATGGTAGAACATCATGGTCTTCCGTTTGCTCACCTCGACAAACAGATCATAGCGCTGCAGGTGGAAGCGTATGACAATGCAAGAGCAAGAAGTTCACCTTCAAAGGAAGACGATGGCCGATTTTCGCCTTCTCTAGGGTTTGACGACGTGACACTGTTGTTGGCAACCCACATAATATTATTTTCTGCTGCATTAAAATGTTACATTACAGTATAAAGAATGTACCAAGGGGTCTAGCTCAGTTGGTATACACCCCCCC